TCAAAAGTATTCATACACACTCCCTCTATAAAAAAATATATATAAAAATAACTATTTTAATATTTGATTTAATCAACAAATACATAAAAAATATAAATTACTAATATAACTCTGTAAACTAAATTTTGAACGATCAAAATATCCTTTATTTTACAATATTCTGAAATACCAAACCCAGATCCCTACCCCTTCTCTCTCTGCACCCGTTGCTCCATTTCCTCAACCACACCCACGGCCACCAAAGCACGCCGCGAGATCAGATCGGAGCTGTTGAATGATTGAATGCTCGGAGATTGGCGATGACGAACTCTCTGGTTCGAATCGGGTGAGTCCGGAGGCGTGTTTGGTGCGGCGGTGGTTGTGGTGTTGTGTGTGTGTCTGTGTGGTGGTTGTAGTGTGTATGTGTGTGTAGCAGTGGAGGTGGTTGTGTGTATGTATGTGTATGTGTGGCGGTGGCAGCGTTTGGGGTGTTGTGTTGTGTGTGGGTGGTGCGACGAGTCTGGTGGCGGTTGTGGTGCAGCGAGTCCGATGACGGTTTGGGGTGCAATGCTTTTGTGTGTGTAGTGGTGGCGGTATTTGGGGTGTGGTGTTGTGTGTGGGTGGTGCGCAAAGTCCAGCGGCAATTGTGGTGCTAGTTGTGGTGCGGCGAGTCCGGCGGCGATTTGGGGTGCGGCGTATGTGTGTGGCAGTGACAGTGTGTATATGTGTGTGGCGATGGCGGCGTTTGGGTGCGGTGCAGTGCTTTATGTGTGGGACGGCGTATGTGTGTAGGGCAGCATCGATGTGTATAGAATAATGATGGGTTATTTTTGTCAATTCACAAGCATGAGGGGTAAATATGACTTTTGAAACATCAGAGTGTCAATGTAAGCTAGTGACGTTGACCATCCGCTAAGTCACGTTGACCCAAACCTCAAAAAGTGTGAGTGCAAATTATCTTTTTTATTTTTTATTTTTACTTTTCTTTCCTTTTTGTCCTTACTATAATCCTGGTTAATAAACATTAATTAGATAGTGAACCAAGGCATCACATTAAAAAATATATATTTATATATATGTATAATATGTTTATGTTTAATTTGACAGCTCAATACGAGGCATTTATTTCTCATTATAAAAAATTGTAAGTTATACAGGGATGATACTAGCACTTGACAGCATCTCCAGCAAGTAGTTTGTTTTATCTCCAGGAGTTACTGAAAGCACTGTTTTGTATAAAATATACACTATTATATATGATATGTAATTTTTTTTTTTTATCTCTAATTATCTGTTAAGATATATTATTATGTTATTAATGTGTAAAATTATTATATATTTTATCCAACCTTTTTATGCAGCCAAATGAACATATTTCCTTTTATAAAAATTATGTAAGGTCCATGCTAATAAATAATTTAATTTTTTTTTTTGTATAAATCTATTGTGACATACCAGATTTACATAAAAAAAAATTTATACACAAGATTGAAGATGGTAGCATTTCAATGTAAATTTGTCATCTACTTTCCATTATAAGCAAAATTGGTTCCGAATATTAAATTAAAATTTGAATTTGAATTTTCAGTTATATACCAAAAAATAAAAAAAAACACTTACATGTTATGTTGTAACACAAATGTAATAAAAAAAATGCAGGCTCCGATTGGAACCTAATTGTTGACTCTCCTTCTCTTATTTATTTATTATTATTATTTTGTCACAATGCGTATGATAAGTATGTAAGTGCACAAGAAAGTTGTCCATGAAGTTTCTCAACCATTCGTCATTAGCTTTAAAAAGAGATGATACGAAGCTTTCAAGAATAAAATCAGGCACTTAGATTTTTTTAATTTCATATTGTAAGAAAAATGTTATAATAGCTAAATAGTTTATTTCAATTTTCACATAATGGCATTCAATGGCCATGAAATTAATGGCATTCAATGGCCATGAAATTAATATCCGCTCTACGGCATACTTAAATTTTTTTTAAAAAAAATCTATAAAAAATGAACCGCTCTTAATTTGCATACTTTCATCACCGTCTTCAACCCTTCCTCTCGGCTTCTGGTTCTCTCACATTTTCAATTTTATTTTTCGTTTGGATGGTAAGCAACAGTAATGACTGATTTAATTTGCTAAGTAAATATATGTACTCACTCACGTGACTCACGTCTGTATATATGTGATTCAACAATCTAAAATTGTATTTACGAAAATCTCCTATATGTGTGTCTATATATATATATATAAATTTGTACACAAATAGAAAAGTGAATATGATATACTATTTTTTTTCCACAGTGAATATGACATATTTGTTTATGTTCGATAATAGAATTGCCGAGAGCTCAAACGTTCTTGATCCTAACCTAGACAAGTTCGAACGTCTATGTAAAAGCTTGAGCTCAACTTTAGCACTGATACTCCATCATCGAGCCGAGCCCAAACCAACTCTTGCTCAGCTCAGCTCGGCTCAATTGCAACCCAAAGTTTATATGTGGTGATTGGACTTAAAAATTATTATACGATTAATACAATAATGATGATTGTTGTATTAAATTTTTGTCACTTTACTGGACGAGTATTTTATATGGGGCATAATACAGAAAACACTTCTCGACTTGTATCATTTTTCAGTAACATCGTCTAATTTTTTACCAAAGAAAAATCCTCTATCTAATTTTTTATCAAGGAACCTCCCTCAACTATCTATTTAAATATTAATTTTTTCAAATTCTCACAAACTGTACATCAAAATATTACAAATAATATATGCACGAAAAGCTTATAACACAGATTTTAGAAATATAAGATTTGCTTAACAAAACTTCATAACAAGAGTGAAATAGACAATCTAAAAAACTACTGCAACAATCTTATTTTATTTTATTTTTTATAAAATATTCGGATTATTTGCAAGAAAATTTTCAGAACTATTTATTTTCATATGGAGTATAACATATAAAAATATTAGCCCTAATAGAGACCGAATATTCATTTTTATTTATTTTTAAATGGTAAGTCTATAAAAGAATAAAAATACATTGATGTAAAATATGATATCTTATGAAATCGATCTTTACTGGGACTATTTATTTATTTATTTTTATATATATTTGGCTCCATATGTAAATGAATAATCCTGAAAATTTTCTTACAAATATCTCGACTATTTTATTTTTAAAAAATAAAATAAGAATGTTGAAGTAGATTTTTAGATTGCCTATTTCTTTCCGGTTATGAATGTTTGTTGTACAAATTTTATATTTCTGAACTCCTTATTTCATAAGCTTTTCGTGCATATATTATTTACAATTTTTAAATGTACAGTTTGTGAGAGATGGATTTTTGAAGTTTGAAAGAATTAAGATTTATATAAAAGGGTATTTTGGTCAAAATATCAACTCTTCTACTCCCTTTAGATAGTTGAGGGGGGTTCTTTGGTAAAAAATTAGATAAGGAATTTATTGAAAAAATGTTACAAGTCAAGAGGGGTTCTTTGGTAAAAAAAAAAAAATAGACAAGAGGAGTTTATTGGAAAAGCCTAAAAGTCGAGGGGGTTTTTCTATACTTTACCTTTTTATATGTTTGTTCAGCAATTTATAATATTTGTTAGAAAAATAGATTGAAAGAGAATAGTAAGACTTGAATTATACCATAAATAAATAAATGTGTGTGTATATTTTATCATCTCATTATATCCCTCTTAAATTTTAATTCATTCATTTAATTACAGTAATCAATATATATATATATATATATATATATATATATATATATATATATATATATACTTTGCCTTTTTATATGTTTGTTCAGCAATTTATAATATTTGTTAGAAAAATAGATTGAAAGAGAATAGTAAAGACTCGAATTATACCATAAATAAATAAATGTGTGTGTGTATATTTTATCATCTCATTATATCCCTCTTAAATTTATATATATATATATATTGATTACTGTAATTAAATGAATGAACTAAAAATTTAAGAGGGATATAATGAGATGATAAATGCACCTTATTATGCAAATTTGGAAATAATTTTTTTGGTGGGTCAAAATATTAATTTTTACCCATCCCACATTCACATATGATTTACTACATTGCCTCCTCCTTATTTATTTATTTATTTTTTTGTTTCTTTTAGTATTTCAACCCTTTTGACTTACCATTTTTGGAGACAGTGAAAGTATCATTAAGTTGCACCGTCTTTAATCATTCTCCTAAGGTTAGAATATCTTAATATTCAATAATCAAGTGATAAAAACTCTTATCTCACAAATTTTATTTTTTAGAAATTACACCGTGCATGTAAGACAAAAATTATAATATATATAATTTACGGGTTGACAATGGTGGTGTTAGATCTCTAAACTTTTTGATAGTCGGTGATCAGATCTCTTAAAGTACCATGCTCGACCTCTACAACTTTGGTGATAAATAATTAGGATGTCTCGAGAGACCAACACCATCATGTTTTACAAAACAAATAAAAAATAAAAAGATCATGACAAATATGTTATATATATATATAATATTTAATTGGGTCGACTATGGCTGTGTCCGACCATTATAATTTTTGTTGAACGTTGGCGGTGTCAAATTTCTTAAAGCACCATATTTGACCTCTATAATTTCATAGGTGAACAATGAAATGTCTCGAGAAGTTGACACCAATGCTTGAAAAAAAAAAAAAAAATTATAACAAGTATATTTGTGTCCACGATTATGGTGCCCGACTCCTATAATTTTTAATTAAAGGTGATCCGGATCCCTTAAGGCATTCTATAACTTATCATTCAATCTCATATTCCACATGTATTATGCAATTATTGGAAAGATTAAAGCAATTTCTTAATTCTTACCTTGATTAATTTTAGAAAAATACATCCATACAAGTGAACATGAAGGGTAAAACTGTAAAACAAAGTCCCTCCTGTTCCAGACTCAGCAGTATCTTAACCGTTCTCATATTCTTGACATAAGTCACAACTCCCCCCCCCCCCCCCTCCCCTCCTCACTTCAATTTCACCTTCTCTCCAAGCCATCGTCCTCTTTCTCTCTCCGATCTTCTCTCTCTACAATTCTCGGAGTTCTTAGGGTTTTGATTTTCTCCATTGAAAGATCTTGAGCCCATCAAAGACTATACACACATATATGTATATCTGAATGTCTTTGTAATTTAATTTAGATAGAGAAAACACTTCATCGCCTCTTTGCCTTTTCATATCTTTCTAGAATCATCTGTTTCTAGGGTTATCACAAACAATGAAGCTTCGTAGACGATCGAAAAACAGAAAAATCTATGCTCAATCGTTGTGACTTGTGAGAGAAACTCCACATCACCTCTCTCCAATTTTCTATTTTGAAGTTTTTTGTCGATCGAAGTGCGAAAAAATCTCTGTTTTATCGGTTAGAGAGAGAAACATTGAGCGATCGATGGTGTTTCATTCAAAATTCTGAATCTGAAACACTAGATAGAGGAATATCCATGGCGTCGACTGTTCCAGCGAAGTCCCAACCTCTCCACAACTTCTCGCTGCCTCGCTTGAAGTGGACGAAGAACCACACAAACAACCATCAGCGAGGCCGCAGACTCGCCGACTCGTCATCGCATCAATCTCCGCCGCCCGATTCGGCTCAGCGGCAATCTCCGCTGCTCAACTCCGCTCCGAGACAATCTCCAATGCGCGAATCTGCTTCCGAATCGGAATCTGGCTACGCTTCTCCTTCCAACAACGGTTCTGCATCCGAGAATCCGAAGAATCAAGCACCTGAAAGTAGCAAGCATGGCTTCTCTATTACATATTCCGATCACATGATCCCTAGTTCGGAGAAAAGATCGACGATTTCGGACGGTTATGGTGGAGTGAAAGAAGCCAGATCGAAGTTGAGTATTCGTTTCCGTACAAAGAACAAGCTTGATGATGTTCAAGATGAAGGAAAAGCTTCTACAGTTGGAGAAGTGGAGGAATTGGCGGCGAAGACTTGGAATTTGAGGCCGAGAAGGCCGATACAGAAGCAACCAAATGTGAATGGAGGAACATCTAAAGTCGGAGGAGCATCGTCGCCGGAGAATAAAGCTCAATTGCCTCCGGCGACCACGAATCGGCAGGAATCGATCTGGTTGCGAAGTGGTCCTGAAGCGAACTTTGAAGAAAGGAGGGAGAAGAAGAGAAAGTTCTCGATTCCTCTCTCTCGGGAGGAGATTGAAGAGGATATCTTTGCGATGACCGGATCAAAGCCGGCAAGGCGGCCAAGGAAGAGAGTAAAGGCTGTTCAGAAACAACTCGATGTGAGAATATACTCAAATTTCACTATTTGATTTTTCTGTTACTGTTTGGGTGTGTGTGTGTGTGTTTTTTCCTTTTTTTTTTTTTTTTTTTTTTTTTTTTTTTTTTTTTTTTTTTCTGCTGTTTTTGAATTTTGATCAGTGCCTAATGCTTGGTATAAATGATAATTCTTGCAGAATGCATTTCCTGGTTTGTGGTTGGCATCAATAACCCCTGATTCATACAAAGTCTCTGAAGCTCCTATAAAGGTATAGTTTTCTATTTATGTTTTGAACATTCAAAGTTCAGGGCTTTTTTCTATTTATGTTATGAACATTCAAAGTTGAGGGCTTTCATTTATGGATTTGAGAACATGATTTGGTGGTTGCAGGGTTAGATCAGATCGTCGCGGATTCTGATCCTTTGGGGGACTTTTGATTGTTTGAAGGTCTATGACTTCCTATTTTTGTGATCTCATATGGTGGTAAAACGAATCAGAACCTTAAAAGATGAAATGGAGGATAGCTGTAACTTGTTTAGTCTTCTTTTATCTGTTTTGGCGATGAGTTCAGTGAAATAGAGGAAGAGGTTTTGGTGATGAGTTCAGTGAAATAGAGGAAGAGGTTGATTATTTTTGTTTTTGATTAGTTGCAGATGTAAATATGAATTATCAAATGACTTGTTATTGATTTAACTTTAAAACCTTCTCTGTTTTCTTGCTAATTTAAAGCTGTAGTTCTTTTTTCTAATACTGAAAAGGAAATGCAAGATTATTGTTGTGGGAATGAAATTGTGTGATTTTACAGTTGGGTGTGATGGTATGGGGGACATTTTTAGTTACCCTAAATAATGATGTGTTTTGAAGAGTCTGATTGTTAGTTTGCTGGCTCTTGATCAAATTGATAAATGATTTTAAAGGCATGTGTGAGTTTGGTTTAGTTCAATATAGTTATTGATCTTTTTTTGATTAGATTTAATTTTAGTCATTAAAGAACCGTTTTTCATAATTTGTTTCAGTATTTATAATTAATCTTTATATTATTTTTTTGTCTAGATCCTGATCTAACTTTTCTGCTATATAGATCATATGTGAAGCGGTGAATAATCTATTTGTTTTGTTGCACGTGAACTACAAGTGCCAACAGTAGTAAATAATGATCTGTTTTGACGAATATCATAGTTAGATTGCTGGCTCTTGATCAAATTGATAAATGATTTTAAAGGCTCTACGCAAGAGTTTGGTTTAGTTCAGTATAGTTATCCACCTGTTTCCTGACGAGATTTAATTTATTGTCATGAATTAGCTGTTTTTTCATAATTTGTTTTGGTATTTATAATTAGTCTTTATATAATATTTTGTCTTGATCTGTGATCTAACTTTTCTGCTATATGGATAATATGTGAAGCAGTGAATAATCTATTTGTTTTGTTGTACAGCAGTAGTAAATAATGATCTGTTTTGACGAATATGCTTGTTAGTTTGCTGGCTCCTGATCAAATTGATGAATGATTTTAAATGCTCCATGCGTGAGTTTGGTTTAGTTAAATTTAGTCATTAAGCTATTCTCTGTTTTAATTTATGACTATTAATGAACAAGTATTTTTGTATTTATTTTAGTGTGCTCATTACTGGTGTTTTTGAGCGCTTACACAAGCAGTAAATTGAGAATGAGAACTCTGTGACTTCACATTTTTTGTGAAATCTACCAGTGGTTGAATTGCCTGGATTGTTACTTTTTCTTTGTTAAGAAAAAATGTCTGGTCGTACCGATCCTCTGGAATTTGAGACATGAATTTTCTTATGAGTGCTTTTATTCTAAGACGTGTTTGATTATGTCTATTTTTGTTTCTCATAGAAAGTACGTATACACTCTACCAGAAAAGAGGTCCGTTCTTCCTTATTGTCCATAAATAATTATGATAAGAGCCTGTTTATTGAAATAGAAAATTTAGGAAGATTTTAGGTTGAAATAAATTTCCTATTAGGTCTCAAAGCTCTCGAATTTTTGCATCCTCTTCTCGTTTTTGAAATTACAGGTGAAGTTGTTTGATTTTATTTAATCAACAAATCATCTGCCTTTTTTTAGGGTTCCTTCAGTCACTGCTACATCTTGCTATGGCCACTGGACTTGTGACTTTAGTTTATGATGGATGTTTGTGATAACATTGAGCAAATGCTCTTTTCTCTCTTTCCATCACTCAAGACCATTGTAATTGATAGTCATATTCATACTCCTCTTCTCTTCGTCACTGTTCATTTTAAGTCAATTTGTCTTTTTGTACTGCAATGCAGATTTCTATTTGAGGATAGAAATCAAATCTGAGCCTTTTGTTGTATTGTTTATTTAGAATTTGTTAGTTACCAAAGAAAAAAAAATGTTTCCATGTCATTGTTGAGAAACAGAAGAAAATTGATATATTGTCATTATGGTGTCATGGATTAAACCATTGGTATTGATAGTCATTGGTGGTCGCTCTTAGGGTGGATTAGTGATGTATTGGGTGACGGTATTGAAAGATGCCGAAGATGCTGCTCCAATTGGGGAACCAAAAGGTTTTTTTTTTTGGAAGTCACAAATTTTAATAGCATATTGCAGTTTAGTTTCCATTATATGGATTATTGAAGGAAGCAGATCGGTGAACTGTGCTTTTGTGAAATGCACATATATGTTGCATTAGGGTGGAAAAAGTTGATAGGGAGAGGTGCGAGATGGATAGTGGGATAGAGGTAGAAATGGTGTTGGAAGAAGTTGATACGGAGAGAAACGTTGGAAATTTTTTTTTATATGGAAGCTAGCCTGTTGAATGGGGTGATGATTTTGGAATTCTCTTCTGATTTGTGATTGTTCTCCAACGGTAAATAATGATTTGTTTTGACAAAAATATGCTTGTTAGTTAAAAATATGCTGGCTAGTTTGTTGATATATGTATAATTTGGTTTAGAGAGTAGGGGTTTCTAAAGGTTTTAGAGAGTTTAGAGAGTAGGCTTGGTGAAGGTTTGCAGCATGGTCAACATTTTTGCCTTCCTATGGAATGCAACATCTTTAAAAGAAGTCCGATGGCTTCAAATTTTTAGCAGACTGCCTTTGTGCGCTTGGTGTATATAAATGAACTTACAATGAATGACGGAGATATGTACATGTGTCATCGAGCCAACGCAATGGGTTCTAGAACGCTACCAAGGAGTATCTAAGATATGGTAGACCACTCTACAAATCTTTGCAACTCTATATAACTAACTCCACACAAGCTTAGAGAAGTCTAGGGGCAGACTTTGGCGGTGGCGTGACAATGTGCTCATTCTTCTTATGTAGTTGTTCACGGTATGTGAACATTATGCACTTGAAAAAAACATAAATAAAAAAATGCATGCACTTGTCTTGATTCACTGAGTGAATAACTGATTTATAGCTTTATTATATTTGCTATTGCCGTGCAGGTTGAATCTACTACAATCTTGAGCAAGTTGAAATTTACAAGTAACCAACCAAAGTCGGCTTTGGTTTCTTCTGTGAACTGCTGTAATCAGGTTACAACAATTTTAGACTTATACTACATGGATGACAAACCAACATAGTGATTTTGCTTCGTTTTTTTAGATTTCCTTTTAAGATTTAATTTAAGTTTATTTTTAATTCAAAACAGGGAATGAGGGATATGGATAGCTTAATAAACTATTCTTCCAACTCTTTTTGTTCTTAATTTTTGTTAAGAATTTGTGACATGATGTCCATTGCTTAGTGCAAGTGAAAGTCAGGTTGTTAAAATAACACTGGTTTTGAAAGTGATCACTGTGTACAGAAATTAGGTTTGACCTTACATAGGCAAGATTTAGGTTTTTGTCCACAGATTTTGCCGCCCTGGAATTAATGCGGAGGTTCTATGTTTGACTCTCTTATATCAAACAAGAACTAACCTTAGTTGAGTCGGAATTGTGGTTTGCTTTTGTCAAACTCGGACAAAATTAATCAATATATATAGTACTAGATCATTCATGAAATCCATAGATTCTGACTTTATGTTTGACCTTCCAATGTTTTCCAATGTTTTCAAAGATACTTGCAAATTCGTATTATTTAAATTCGGGTGTGTGTGTTATATATATATATATCATTTTGTAAGTTAGGTCAAAGTTATTTATTTAGGCCACTATTTGTTTGGATGTAAAATATATATTTTTTATTTTATAATGTTTCATACAATATTTACAAAGAAAAAATATATTAAAATTTAACAAAAATAACTTACGTATTAATTTTTGGCAAGTTATTTTCAACGTAGTTTGACACGATCCTAATATTGACTTATACTTTTGACAAGTACCGAAAAATAAATATTGACTTATATATTTTTAAATAATATATATATATATATATATATATATATATATATATATATATATATATCCTCAAAACAAACAAACGGAACCTTAATTCTTAGGTTTCTTTTATGGGTTAGTCCCTACTCTGCCTGTACACTGAAAACTATCAGGAATGGCTAATTTTTCAGAACTCAAAAACACAGTTAGACTGTCTTTATGGGCTAATGTTCTTTGAGAGTAGAAACTTTTAAGACTATCTTTTCAGCAAAGAAAATAACTGAAAATCAGAGACTACAAAAGTTCGTTTGATTAATAAAGATTTAAGAAAATTGTTTTGGTGAAAGGATAAAATTCATACTATGACTTGACTTGTATCTCACCAAACAATGGAGAAACCAAAAAGTCATAACTAACACATGTAACAACAAACAAACAAGCCCAGACGTGATGGAAAACCCAACTGAGATTGATGGAATCTTAAAACGAATGTCATGATGTCATTGTTTGTGAGATTGTTGTATGAGTAAAGATAAAGACTGGGTGTGGCCCAATGAATAAGGGGTGTTTTAGGCCTCATTGTAAATTTGGGCTTAAATAATTGTAAATTCGGGTTTTAAAAAAAAAATTACAAACTAACATAAATATGAAAATTTTAAAAATTAAAAATTTCAAGTGTTGAAGTTTTTAGGTTGTAATTAAAAATTAATATTTTTAATATATATATATATTTTAAATTGTCAGTATTCCGTTTTAAGTGTATATTTAAATTACATTAAGTAAGCACTTAACTTGTTCATAAGACTTGGTGCTGTTTGATTACTCAATTTAGCTCTTAATTCTAAATGTATTAAGCACTTATCCAATTAAGTGCATTTAATAACGCATTTTGAATATCTCTAAAACGATTGCATTTTGAATATTTCTGAAAACGATAAGCGTCACTTAAAATAGGATAAAATTTCAAACGACAGAGATATCACTTATCACTGAATGTTGAATGCTACAAATTTAAAAAGATTTCAAATAATATTTATTTTTAATTACCACTTTAAAATTTCAGTTTTTAAAACTTTTAATACTTAATTTTCAATTTTATCAAAGGACATGCTTAACCAGTTCATAATTAAACGTGTAAATCGAGTTATCAAAAAAATAGAATGCAGTCCAAAATGGCTATAAAGTGAATTATTCTTTCTATTAAAAAAACAAAAATCGAAAGACTGAAGAGGGTAATAAGGTAAAAACACTGTCAAATGGAAGAAATTGAGTAGTGTGCGCCACTCTGGTGCTGGGTTGATGATATTGTTACAGGAGTCGAAGGAAAGGCTAAAGAGGGCAATAGAGTAAAAACACTATCAAATGGAAGGAATTGCGGAGGGGGATGGTGGTGGCAGCGGCGGTTACTGGTGGTGGGCCGCCGCAAGCACCGTTCAGTTGGTATGGGGCATACACTCCTATCGAAGAGGCTTCGCCGGGGACTCCCGTTTCATGCCCCTCAAAGCCTTTGCCGTCGCCTCCCTCTTCGTCGGCGCCACCGCCTCCGCCACCGTCGGGACCCTTCGTGCCTCCGGCATCCACTCGGTACGCTCCTCTTGCCGTCCCTCTATCTCTCTCTCTATGTGTGTGTATATAGACTCTCTAACTCCCTATCATTTTCCTCCTAGATCGCTATTTGGACTTGTTATGGTTTTGATTGTAGGCTCACGTTTAGTTTAGCTAGTTAACGATTTATATGGTTTCGATTCTCTTAATTTGCTTTGCTCATATTCTATGGTATAGGTATATCTTCCATGAAATATGAACTACAGTAGGAATTTTATCTCTGCCCTCAAATATTAAAGAAGAAAATTTACTCACATCCAATGAATGAACCAACCAAGTGTACAAAAAAAAAAAAAAAAACAAAAAAAACAAAAAGGAATGGCATTGTTGACACAGCTGATTTGGGTTCTCATTTGAAGAATCTTAATACTCAATGCTTTTAAATTCATCTGGAAGCAACAAAATTTACTCTACCAAGTATCATATCCTTAGACTTATTAGCAAACCAGCTTAATAAAAGGGAAAAATACTTGCTTTATAGGATTTTGTGACACTTATTTTAGTCTACCTACCCGAATGTCAAGGTATTTTTTAAATTCAGACAGCCGTGTTTTCCCCAAATATTGAGAAAGTTGTGATGAACCTTCTCAGCTCGTGAATGAATCCAGTAATTTTTTTTTGCATTTTTTATTTTGGTTTAACTAGCATTGCTTCAATAAAATTAGCTTTTGTTTCATTTGGATGATGAATTCGAAATGGGGGATTTTAGGATTCGATATTGGATTCTGAGAATTGAGGGAGGGGACAGTGTAGTGGTAGGAGACATACATTTAGCTAAAATATTTCTTTGATTAATATCATTCATGCATGGAACATATTTTGGATAATTCCTTTCACCTTGTTATTTCAATTCCACTTATCCAAGGCTCCCAAAAACATCCAAAGGCAAAGGTTAAATTTTGTGAGAAAAAAATTATAAAAGAGCAGAAAGGAAAGGGTTTGGGTGCTTAACATAATTTCCTGCATGGAGGCTTCGAAAAATTCTTTAAACAATCAAACAACCTTAGAAAGCAAAAGCTCTTGCCTATTAATGTGTCAACTTGATTGTCAATAAATTCAAATCTTCATCCATATATATATATATATATATATATATATATTTTCAGTAAGAAAATTAGATTCATTTAATAATTTGAGAATGTCAGGGTTCAAGTTTTCACGTTTCAAAATGTAAGAGAGATTGGAGATATGGGGTTCACAGTTTTAAGGGCTAGTTTGGTGTGGTGGAATGAATTGGAATGGAATGAGAATGGAGGTGGGAATGGAATGAGTAGGGAATGGAATGGTCATTCCTTTTGTTGGAATGTGGAATGATTTTAATGGAATGACCATTCTCCAAGAATAGTGGACAATGATGATTCCAACTTTAAAATTGGCACCAAACACAAGAATGGAAAAAAAATCATTCCATTCCACTTTCTTTTATTTCATTCCACCATACCAAACTAGCTCTAAAGGTAATGATGCAGTAGAACTAGCCATCTTGGAAAAGCAACTTCCAATTAGACACTCAAATCTCAAAGGGATAAAAGTATTAATATTTAGGGGTCTCACTGCGTCTTGTATATTAGGTTGCAGGATTCATTTCAATGATATTTTGTTCTTTAGGTTATAGTCTCGTAGTCTTTGTTTCAATATTATTTGTTTTATATAGTTTCATGGAATTTTTGCAGTCTTTTGATCTCAAATGATGGGATGTCCTAGTTGCTTCTGTTTTTCTGGTTGGCTCTTTCAGAGCAATATCTTCTTTTTCTTTAGGCAATTTCCTTGCATTTCTTTATATACAATTGCCCTGTTTTTGCCTTGTCCTTTCTATGTTTAAATATACAACTTATGTCCACATTGAAGTGAAGAACCAAATTTGCCGTGGATCGTAAAAGTGAGGGAAGATGTGACAAAATTTGATTAGACTGGCTTATGGTTCTAAATAGTGTAATTGCAACATGGGATGTATGTAACTGACCTCAAATAGCTAGAACAAGACTTCACTGATTTGTACACTTCTGCTAAAATCCTACATGTCTTTATTATTGTTTTCAAACTAAACCACCCTTATTACCAGAATTCCCACTGTGTGTTGCTTTAAAACCCTTTCATTAATAACTCACTCACTTTTTCATAAAAGTATGTCATTCATTATCCAAGTGTTCTAAGCCTTGAGCTCTGTCTCATGTATTGTCCTATATGATATGGAGTCTTTATTCAGATTTTAGCTCCTCGGTGATCTTGTTAGATGAGTAATATTTTGGTTTATTTATGAGAAATTCGGTAATTTCTTAGCCAAAAAGAAAAGTATATAAATAAAGGAGATGTTGTAGCTGCCTGAAATATATTAATTAGGCAGTCATTAAACACAAGGGAATAAAAATTGTAAATGCAGAGTTGTTCCTTTTTGTTCTTTTTTATTTTATTTTTTATTTTTGGAGGGGTGATGCAGGTTCTAAAATTTAAGAGAAAATGAATTCCATACCTAATTCTAAACCATTCTTTTCCTTTTTGAGTTCTTTTTGTTGAGTTATTCAGCACTTCCATTTCCTTTTAACTACATTGCATATCCTTGTATGATTGTCATTTTACCAAATAGTTCATTTATAGCCTTGTGTTATTTTATAGGTGGGAGATGCTAAAGAGCTGGGTGAAAGTATAAGGACTGAACTTGGAATTCCCCCGAAAGCGCGTGATGAATAGATATGATCTCAAGATCTTTGTAATTTTGTCGCATCCGAGTTATGGAAAGATTTTGGCTTTCTCTGGCTCTTTCTTGAAAAATCATTAAAGCCTCTCCTCTTGAACAAATTCTAGTTGAGACTTGAGAGAGGACACAGAGGCAAATAAGCACAGTTTTTCCTTTTACTAGTTTATTTTCTTTGTTGAGAATAGAGAAAACCCGGAAATGATCTATTTATGAGAATTGTGTTTCTAAAACATGTCCCGCTACTGTTTTACTTTCTGTGCTATTCAGTCATTCTTTAGTCTTCATGAAGTAGAAAAACGATATTATGTCTGGCAAGAAGCACTTGGGTCTAGGAATATGATCGTTAGCCTGGATTCCCAAAGTAGCTCTGGAGTTGCACCAGAAGGTGATCATGTCAGCCTTTTTTTTCATAGTAGAATAGGCTCAGTATTCTGAATTCTGATGTAGGTAACTTGATGTTGTATTTGATACTCATCAGCTCGTATGAAACATTTCTTATTAATATATTCTTCTGTAGGCCTTTTCATTTGGTGTTTTTTGTTGAAAGCTGATACATTTCTTCTTGATATATTCTTCTGTAGGCCTTTTCATTAGGTCAAACTTCACATGTTGTATATGGTATGCCTGTATTATTGTAGATAAAGAATGTTGAGCTTGTGTAAAGAGTTCTAAAATTGTATTATGAACAACTGAGGGTGATGTTATTGGAAAATATCTCTCTAGATATGTTTTCATGATCGAACTTTTGCATTTAAAGCTAATTTAGGTTGGAATTTTATCAGTGTGTTCATCCTTTTAGACTGTTATCTTTTTTTCGCACATCAGAACTTAGGCCCCTTACCTGAGACGTGTGTAGTGAGAAATAGAAAAATTCTATGCACTGATTTTCCATCTGATCAGTGGACATATCAGCTGGCTTAATCTTTATGTTGTTGCAAGTGATCAATTCCTTACAAATAATCCATATTTCAATTAATTTCCCTGCTTGACAAGTTGATTTTAGAGTCTATTAACAGCAGCTAAAACTTGCTTCATTGAAATTTTTGCAAATTACATAACGTTAGGTGTTTATAGAAGAGAAGTTTTAAAATAAAGGGTGGTAGTTTTATTTATTTATTTATTATTATTATTTTTAAAATAATGACTTTTAAAGTGCAATGAAGCATTACATTCCTGTGAATTCCTTGGGTAGAAAGAAACAAGGAGAAAATATGAAATCTAGCAAGACTGAATATTATTGTTTCTATCAATCCTCTGAGCAGCTAAATGGAGTATGAAGCTGCAGTTTGTTTGATCTATGTTCATGAGACCTCTGAAATTTCCACTTACATAGTCTCTAGAAATGTTTGTGATTAAGAGCTCTTGTGATTTTCTGTAGGACTATGGCAAGACAAATGTTCCAGAAGTCGAAGCAAATCAAACCGTCATTTTGTCCTTGATGAGCAAATTGGATTAAGATGCTGCATTGTTCTTATGAAGACCTTGAGATTAAACACGTAATACCAACTTTGGTAAGCAATTTCCACCCTCCATTTATTAATGTAATGTTCTACAGTAAGTCTTACAATCAAGAAACTGCATGCGGTCCATTTACGACTCTAACAAGCTGCATTGATGATTGAACTGGAATTAATATGAAGAATCTATTGCAGGGTGCTTGTAATTGAATGGGCTTTACTGCTCGCTTTATTAGTATTCTGTGTGTTGCGTACGTGGTTTAATCTCGTTTAGATCCATCTAATGAATCAAGGTGATGTTGTGACAAGTACAAAATCTAGGGTTTGGACAATACACAGCGACTAACTACTGTTTCAACAACTGAAAAATGAATTAAATTACCATTCAACCATCAACATTGGGATGATGAAGAGCTAATCATTCAAGTTGGCATTTCAGAAAACTTAAGAAGCAAAGCTAGGCGGTAGGCAAATAGAACGAGGTATATAATATACTATATGGAAAGAGAGAAACACTAGGTTATTTTGGAATGACAAAACATGGAAACATGAAAAGAGAGAAACACTAGCTTACATCTGTGGGCGTTGAAAATCGGTTTGATTGATTGGTTTTGGAAGTCCTTTTTCTCTGTTTTGACAGATTGGGCTGTTTTAAGTCAGACAAATTACTGAGATATTCTGCAGTTGAGTATGAAGCCTTGCAAGTATTTGGTTTTGATGCTCTTAAAAAATGGTTATTGTAGTGAAAAGCATGTTAGAGAAATTCTGATTTGCAATGGGTACTCAGTCTGGTTTAGACTCTTGTTAGCAGAGTCAAGAATTAAACAGCATTAGACTGTTATTGGATTTTGCTGCTTGTTTATAACTATAACATGTATTTTTTCTTCTTTGTTTTTAGTTTGGCTCCCCTTTGGTTTCTCTGTTCTTGTATACAAAGTTTATGTCCTTTATATTGTTTGCAATTGGCCTTTTGCCTTAGGCTTTTTATTTTTATATATTTTTTGGGTATAAAATGCTTACCTTTTCAAAATAAATAAATAAATAAAACATGTATTGTAATTTAACAAGGGAAAGGGAAAGGGAAAATGGTTCGGTTCAGTTTAAAGAAGACAAGACATAGGCCAAGAATTGCAAACAATTTCTTGGAAGTGGTGTGTAAGTACGAGTTAGGAGAAAGAAAATAAATAAATAAATAAAAATGATGGTGTACATTTATTAAACCCCACAAAATTAGGTCTTATTATTATTTTTTTCTTAATTGGTACGTGCACACATATATGTCTTCATCGAGACTCGAATCCTTAATCTCTCTTTGAAAAATAGGAGTCTAGTATCGTTAGGCCACTAACCTTAAGCTGTTGGTTAGGTCTTATTATTTCATAGCTCATTGTTACATTTCGTCAATTTGAAGGAGGTTGAGCCAAGTAGACACACGTGTGAGTGTAGAAGTGGACTTTGCATGACATATGTAGAGTGTTGGGTTAGAATCTTATACATTTGTGCAGAAAGTAGAAGTGGACTTTGCATGACATATGTAGAGTGTTGGGTTAGAATCTTATACATTTGTGTAGCAAAGTAGGGAAATAGAGGATTATAGTATGTTGATTTTTTTTTTTTTTAAATTGATAAATTGAATAAGATTTGAGAAGATTGAGATTTTTCTAGAAATTGTAAATATATATAGAGTCTTAACATGGATTGTAATGTACTTAAAAGAATAAATATATATATATATATATATACACCGTGAAAGTTTCATTTGTAACATAAATTTACTAGTATAAAATTGTAAGGATGGGTAAATAGTTTGAAGGTGAGAACTGACAATTCTTTGCGGGGAGATGAGCAGTCACTCAACTCATCAATGAGCTAATTCGTAAAAAAAGTCGGTTGGGTGTGCGTTATTTATCGAACACATAAATGCACCAGTTTGCTCTACCATGCTAGTTGCGGGTATATTTTATAAGTTCTTATCCATTATGAACCATAATCCATGGTTCTTAATTAGAGAATATTGTAGGGTTTTTTTTGAATCATCTTTGTTCTTAATTATAGATTATATTCTAAACAAGATTGATTGAAGTTAAATAAGAAGCATAAAAAATAAATTAAATATATATAGGACAATTGTACAAAACACCTTAAAATATACTTCGCCTAACACTTTTACTCTTATTTGAAAAAGTATGCAAAAAATATCCTTAATCTTTTCACAATAAAAATACTCTCCAAACAAAAATCTGACATAAATTAGTAGTGTAATACTCATTTTGCCTTTTTACTTTTTCGAAAATGTCCAACGGGTATATATGCTATTAATTTCATAGTATAGAGGTATTATGTATACATTATCTTTTAGATATATATATATTGAAATTTTTTTCTATATATATATATCTATTTTATTTTATTTTTTTTTAACTTTGAGAATTTAAGGAATAAGGATTTAAATTTTTTGAGATTTCAGTTTATTATTTTCTATATAAAAAAAAAATTATTTATTTATTTTTTTCGTACCAACACGGTTAAACCAAAAAAAAAATCACAGTATCAGTGTGCATTGGTTTTCGGAGTTTGAAACATATTTGTTTTCCTTAATTTGCAATTTATTTTTGTTTTTTGTTTTTTATTTTTATCTTTACTTGTCCATTGTCGGCGTTTTCAGTCATTTTACAAAATTATTTAATTTTATATATTTTATAAAATGGTTCAGTAAGGGTAATTTAGTAAACTTAAGGTTTAAATTTGTTAGAGGGACCTATTTATACCAAATTGAAACTTTATGGGTGTTTTTTGTACGTGAAATGTGTGATATGCACTGTAAACATATTTTAGGAGTGTAATATACACACACACACACATACATACATACATACATACTAGGGGTAACAATTCGTAGGTCGTGTTCATGTCGTGTCGATTTAAGGGTATTATACTAAATAGGTAAACACAAACCCAACTCATTTAATAATCGTATCAAAAATTCTAAATACTATCCCAACTCGTTTATTAAACAGGTAAATGTGTTAACCCGACCTGTTTATCAAAACGAGACATTTATTATTTAATCGAATACTAAATAATAGAAAATTTTGTCATAATTAACACAAATATTCAAAAAAAAAAAAAAAAAAAAAAATCACAAGCATAGACAATGTTTATGTTGAAATGAGTTAATTATGTATAGTAATTGGGTTTAAACAGGTAACATATTACATAGGTTATATTCAAGATTATAACATGTTGAGTTAAATGGGTCATAAACGGGTTACACAGAAACCCTTAAATCCTAACCCGACACGGTTAAGAAAATAAGTTAATCATGTCGACCCTTTTATGACCCAAATCCTTTTATGCCAAACTCAAACCCTTTTAACTTGTATCGTATTGTAATTTGCCACCCGTAATACATACCAGTGTGGAATAAAGAGGTTCAATTTGGTGAACAACCTTTTATATATATATATATATATATATATATATATATATAATCTTTCTCTTAACACGAGCCGAGTTTTGGAAACCGGAACATAAAAAATTATTTATCTAACTTTTTTTTCCAGATATCTAATACCATATATTCTTATTTATTATTATTATTATTATTTTACCAATATACCACATAACCGATAATCTACACGGTTGAATGCTACAATAATTTCCGCTAAATTAGTCTACCACTGTTGAATGCTACAATAATTTCCGCTAAATTTGTCATAATCTATACCACATAAATGCTACAATAATTTCCGCTAAATTTGTCATAAATGGACAATTGTGAATGTTACCATTTTCTCATTTACTATTATCTTTGACCTTTTATTTTGTTTTGTATTTATTTTAATAACACACCTACAAATTCAGTTGGTCAACAAACTAAGGCACCAACTTTACCTTCTACTTTGTTTTATATTTTATAGAAATGATTGCAGTTGGTGAGATCACTCATTGGGTTTTTGTTTTTTCTTTTAAATGCAATAAAACAAACACTTCTTTATAAATGCAATAAATCTTTATAAAACAAACACTTCTTAATTATCAAATAAAAGATGGTAGAATATATACTCACTTGCTAAATTAGAAATAGTTAGATCTATAAAATCTATGGTAGCAATTGCTATTCTTTAGGCTTCATGAGATCTAAAGTTTGATAGCTGTAAAGGATTGACATACGAAAAATGTTACACATATAATAGGGATCAGTTTTCATTTTCATTTTATTTTTTTCCTTGGGGTGGGTTAGATTCACAAATCCTATTTTCATAATCTAAACTACTGTACCTAATGTATCATAAGAAAGAACACAATAATTTCACTCGACCATTCCCATTTTCTGTTTTTCCTTTTTCAAATGTTAGCATTCAAATAGAAAACAATTCCTTTCATGATGTGAAGAACCAAAAACATACTAATGAGTAAATTCAATGAGCATCAGCAAGTATATTATAAATTTCCAAAGGATATATCTGAGGTTCAGGCAAACATGCCAAAAAAATGGGGCGCAGGGAAGGAAAGAGTTTACACAACGTCCGGCTGATTCAAAGTCTCATCGGAGATGGCACCCGAGGGGTAATAACTTATACCAGTTTTACCATTGCTAGTAAACACCTCAAAATCCCCAGCAGTAAATGACCGGTTTTCGCCAAAGGAGATGGATCTTTTCAAGTGTGAGTATGCACAGTATTCTACTTCATATACGGTAGTATCTTTCAAAAACGCAGAAACTGAAACTCCAACCCCTTCCCCTGCACAATCACAAGGTGGGTACAATTTAACAATGCTAACACTTGTTTGAAAACACATGATAATAAATCAAAAACTCGAAAAACTGCATAAAGATAAATAAAAAATACATAATCTGATAACATTTTTTCGGGGATAAAACTGTAGTTGCTTGAAATCCTAAAATTTCATATGCAATAAAAAGTCTCTTTTACTAGACAAGAAAAAGAGAAAGGGCTAGTCGTTGCGAATGAATGCTATGGAGAAATTAGACCAAAGGCAACGCAGAACACAATTCAATTTTTTCGCTCACATTTGCGATTGCGAAATCCATTAAGTTGTAGATTAAAAATATAGAGACATCTTTATCTGTACAGGGTTGCAAAAGACAGAAATCATATTCTAGTTACGAGTATCTCAAACATAAGAATGTATCTTTATCTTCCTTGGTGAAACAAAGTACAAGAAAAACCACAATTGAAAATGAAATGAAGCTTACCATGTGTGACAAGCAGCAAGTTTTCCGAAGGGAATTTATCTGCAAGGGCTTTAATAATCTGCTCATACCTAGTCCTTGCACCAATCACAGTCTCTTCCCATTGTGGCAACTTGAGTTCCTCGAGCAAAGAATGTCAGTACATATGATAATTTTTGTTGATCTGCATATGTGCTAATACACACCAAGAAATTCTCATTTATAAAGGAAACATTAAAGGAATATGTTCCGAGTGTACCTCTTTATAGACTCGTTCGACAGATTTATCCAGTGTCCCAGCTGGCAACAAAGCTGCAAGCTCCGAGATCTTAAAATCAAAATTTCCATCTTTAGGAGCCATACCAGCTCTTATGGCTTCCCGGTTCAACATCTCACACAATCCGTACTCAACGGAGACCTGAAAAATGTATAGAAAGGGTTCAAACATGTTACCCACAGCCTTTTTGTGGATTTGATCATTGTCCAAATGTGAAGCAATTATTCCATAGGATCAAGAAACAGAGCATCCCAAATGTACATTAAGATCCTGTTATAGACGTGCACTAGAACATGTACTCTGGGTTCCTATTCTTAACTTGTTTTACAACTTCTGCAGTCTACACCAGTAAGTAGAATCACAAAATTAAAACTGACAACAGAAAGCTAGCTGATCTATATATTTTATTGCATCATTAGTAACAGAGTATTGTCAAATACCACGAAAACTGACTATACATTCAGTGAACTAGCACCAAATGCAATGAAAAAATTGAATTTTCTCATTCAGAAACACCAGGTAAACAACGAATTGCTTCCAAAAAAGTTCAAAAAATATTTGTGAAGATATAGAATTGATTGTTCTATCTTCAAAACAAGGGTATTCACATTTTTTATTTATTTTTTGATAAGTACCAAAAAAAAAAAAAAAATATGAATAGTCCCTGCACAACATCAAAATGGTATAACTAATTAATAGAATCAGTTATTGTATCTGTTTATGATAATATGAATAGTCCCTGTTTTGCATGACAGATCCAAAAAACAAGCGAAACCATGATTGAATCCCATAATTCTTCATAATGAAAGATTAATACTTTGTGATATATTCAATTGATTTCTACCCAACATCAATTTTTCAGAACTAAACACCAATTCAATTTAATCCCAGAAATAATTGCGATCAGACTTCAATAATATGATCAACAAAATCAAATTATATTTATGATCAGATTTCAATAATATGATCAGCAGAATCAATTATTTATGTTTACTCAGTTCCTTGAACGGAAAGTCCACTAGGAAAAATGTTGCTTTAGGTTGATTGACATCCAACATAAATTTTTGTCAGGAGCAATAATCAATTATTTAGTTGACTGATATTTGATGGATTCAACCAAAACTTCATAAATCTACTGCCAATAATATGAATAGTCCCCAACAAAAAATATCATGAATCCAAACACAATGAAATTTTTTTCTCACATCAGAAACTCAGGGCTGATTCAATACTGATATAAAATGAATAATGAATACACAGATAAAGATATATATATGTGTGTGTGTGTGTATATATATATATGAATATGATCTGACCTTGATCTTGGAGGGATCAATTTTGACGCCGTCACTATTCACGAGGGTATCGCCGTCGACGGCGCAGAGGGCGGTGACCACCTCTGAGGCGGTCTGAATGCAGCGGAGGAACGGCGAGACGAGGACCCGGTGGATCGGAAACCCTAGGTAAGTCCGGAGCTTCCGGCCGGTGCAGAAGGCGCGGACCTTGCCGGCTTCTACGAGAGGGGGGTCCCACGGCCTCGCCGCCGACGCCGCCCACAGGGGCTCAAAATTGTCTATTCGATCGCCGTGTCGCATCACGACGACGTTTTGTTGGGACCGCTGGCGATCTCCGCCGTCCGGGGTTAGGGTTTTGGAGGAGGCGGTGGAGGAGGAGTTCATCATTGTGTGAGCGCGGGACGGTAATGGTTGACGAGATCTAAACGGAGGGAGGAGTTTAGAGAGAGAGAGAGAACGAGAGAGCGAGAGAGAGAATTGCAGAGGAGGCAGGGGACGTAATGAGAAAGCTGACGTGGTGAGCATTTGTACAAAAGTGGATTCGGTGACGTGGGTCTGATTGCTTTTTTTGCGGATATTTGATTTTAAAGGCGCTTTAAATGTAGAAGATGTTATGCCGTGTTTGCCTTAAACTTAAACGCGACCTTTGCCGTGTGTAACACTCACGCAACAATATGTGTGAACTCATGACCTATTGTCTGTGACGGGTCCAAACTAACAACCCGTAAGTGGGGTCAGCCCAGGGTGACCAAAATTACAGCACTTTTTCCAGAGGCCCAATTGTCTCTCGCCACCACACAATTTTAATGCATTTTTTTTTTAAAAAAAATTCTGCCAAATAATTTTCACAAATAAAATTATATATATATATATATATATATATATATATTGTTCTTCTTTGGGATATATTTGTGTTTCTAACAATGTCTATTTATCTTTAGTGTAAGAAAGGTAATAAGGAATTAAAACTTAACCAAAGATATTTGATATTTTAAGGGTTAAGAGAAAGTCACATCGTTTGATAACTTAATTCAGTAATGTTTGAATTATGATAGAGTGTTGTTATTTTAGATTATCAAAAGTCGTGTTTTTTATTTTAGATTTATCAAAAGTCGTGTCTTTCTTTTAATTGGCTAATTTTACAAAAAAAAAATAAGAGATCCCGCTATCACGGACCTAGAGATTTGGCGCAGTGGCACGGCCCGTGTTGCACCGAGGCGTTGCTTCAGCTCACGCAAGCACCCTGGTCAGTCACCACGACTTGCCCTCCTAAGGATATATGCTGACTGGTTTCGGCCTACCTTGGCCTCGTCAGGGGAACGGCTCCAGCTTCTGACCAGTTTATGCAGGAATGGCCAACTCCCTTTTTTATAGTCAAGTCCACGACCAGCGACAAGCTCCTCGCACTCAACCGAGTCGACCTGCCTGAACTCTGAAGAGATACCATCATGTGCACCTGCACGCCCCTTCCCTGGAACCATTCCCAGTCAAACTCTGCTCTTTGCCAACCAGCATGCGTGTTCCATCTTCTAAGCATCTTAGGAATCACTTCGTGACATTCTCCCCCCCCCCCCAAAATCTTGCGACGCCTTCGTCGTAGTGCGGCGCTTCACCACTGCGTCCACTCCCTTCCAAAGTTTGCCTCTATGCGGTATGCTCGTCTTCCCACCATCGCTTCCTTGTACAGCTCCCCACACTGCACTCTAGCCCAATGATAGGCCTCGGACCAAGGGGACGTCCACTCCTCAAGGACGTGACTCTTTTCCGTCATCCCGCCTCGGCGACATCCCGAGTAAGCAAAGGCCTCTTGCCAACTTGATGCTCGCCCTTCACCATGGTTTGCATCACCCAAGGACTAAGCACGAACTTTGGTGCGCGCGGCCCTCTGGCCCTCCAGTGCGCAACTTCAACGGACGCCTCTTCATAGGGAAATGAAAGCTCTCCCCCCAACTGCATTGATTCCTTCTCATCGACGCAACTTCAGTGCACCGTCTTCATTCTTAGACCCCTCCCGGACCGATAAGGGGGCACCCCACCGTGCTTTAACCCAAACTCCTGCTCTGATACCATTTGTCACGGGCCTAGAGATTTGGCGTAGCGGCACGGTCCGTGTGGCACCAAGGCGTTGCTTCAGCTCGCGCAAGCACCTTGGTCAGCCACCACGACCTGCCCTGCCAAGGATACATGCTGACTGGTTTCGGCCTGCCTTGGCCTTGTCAGGGGAACAGCACCAGCTCCCGACCAGTTTGTGCAGGGATGGCCAACTCCCTTCTTCATAGTCAAGTCCACGACCAGCGATAAGCTCCTCGCACTCAACCGAGTCGACTTGCCTTAACTCTGAAGAGATACCATCATGTGCACCTGCACGCCCCTTCCCTGAAACTATTCCCAGTCAAACTCTACTCTTTGCCAACCAGCATGCGTGTCTTCCATCATCCAAGCGTCTTAGGAATCACTTCGTGACATCGCGTTGCAGAGGATCCAAATTTATTTTTCTCTTTTCATTTTATAGGAAAAAATGTGTAAATTTCTTAATTCTCTTGAATTCTCAAATTCAAAATAAAAAAATAATTGCAGGAAGGCTGATTGAAATTTAGAATTAATAAAGAAAAAAAAAAAAAGACTCAAAAAATTTGAATGACATTTATAACATACAACTTATAATTTGAAAGAGATGATGTCACAAAATACATCAAAATGAGATGTCTCAAAATACATTAAAATAATTGAAAGATACATCAAAACGAGATTGATAATAACATGCCTCGATCAAAATACATTAAAAATTTAGAGCAACATCATCTTTAGAGACCACATATATTATTCCAAAGTTGAATAGCAAAGACAGATGCATGATGAGACCGGAGGGAGAGACTAAAACATGTTGATTTCAAGCATTGCGGGTATTAGTCGTGATCGTTAATGTTGGTGATCGATACTTCTTGACCCACATAGGACGGTCATTTATGTAGAACCGGACTTGATTTCTTCCGTTTAGTACTAAGGCCGGTATTGTTTTCTTCTTGAACACTATCTTCCCAAACAGCGCTGGTCCATCCATTGGCTTGTGCAGATATATTCTCTCTACACATTCTCCATATCTCCTGCACACACACACACACACATATAATATCACATTCACAAAACTCATTATTAAATATTACCATATATATGAAACATATTTGGTTACCTGTAATCGTGTATATAATGTATGCAAATGTGTTATATATGATTTCTTATCTAAGAAATTTTAATCACATTTTTGGAAAAAACACACACTCACACACAAACATTCATGTACGCGCGGACACATATATCATATTGTACATATACTCCTATATTCATGTCAATAATAATAACAGTGATGCTATATATATACACACGATGATGTGCTTGCATGCATGGATCATGGATGTGTAAGTATCACTGTTATGTGTGTGTATATATATATATATTTATAATAATTGACGTAACTTCACAGTACAAAAAAAAAAAAAAAAAAAAAAAAAAAAAAAAAAAAAAAACCAAATTCGACCATGTTCTTAGAATTAGCCACAACGACCAGTCGCATTATCTACCATTACCTTGTAAAAAACCAGAAAATTTGGTTCTCGGATAAAGGATAACCATTTGAGAAGGTGACAAACAAGCACCTTTCTTCCTCAGGAGAAACCCGCCACTCTTGGGCATACGGGTTCAATTTCGAACCCGAAGAAGCCACCACTGCCGATTTCTTCCCCACTTCCAGGCCACCAGGTTTCTTGCCCTCAGCGACGACCAATTTCCGAACAATGTCTGCCATGGCAACACTACCATTCCCTTCCTTACACCTATCCTCCAATATATCTCTAAATATCATCTCACAAACTCCATTGACGAGGTGAGATATGCCATTTGAAGCCCTTTCCTTGTCTTCGAAAAGGTCGATGAGAGAGAAGGAGTCTGGAACGGGTTTGGCTAGGTCTAAAGTTACTGGCATACTAATGGACGAAGCCCCCGGTGACAATGCATTCGCTTCGAGAAATCCTAATGCTGTTTCAGCCTCTGCACCGACCACAGCCATGACTTTGTCAGTCTGCGAACTGATCTTCTTCACAAGGCCTTTTAGGCCTCCCTCTGATTCCAACCACATTAATAGTGCCATAATCTTCTTTGTCATTTTCGTATCTGCGCCCATATCTATCAATCGTCCGAATATGCGCCTCTCTGCCTCGTGGAGGGCGATGAGAGCATCAAATGTGTTCATAGCCATTGTGTGGTGTGGAGATGTGTGAAGAAAAGATGTGTGTCTGTGTGTGTGGAGTGGACAAAGAAACTGTGGCCTGTGTGAGAATGTTCAAGGGATTTGGAGTTCATTTTATAGAAAATTTTGGAAAAGTTGTGATGGTTCAGAAAAGCAGTTTACACTCTTTTGTCTGAATGGTCGCAATTGTTGATAATTAGTAATATTTTTGTATCATTTGGTGTAAAATATTCTAGGCGGGAAAAAAAAAAAAAAAAAAATAGATACTTACATATATCTAAATTTTACTTGAAAATAAAATGAATTGAGATTTTATATATATATATTTTTAAGTAGAATGTAGGTTTTACGCGTGAGTAATATGAAAATAGAATTCGATTGAGAATGTGAATTTTGATATTGGACTCTGAATAGTCTCATTGATTCAAATAAATCAATAACATATGAAGTAATATTGAAAACTAAAACGAGTCATGTCACTTCTATTTATAGGTGGAGAGACTTACGATTGAGCGCTAAGATCAATACAAATTAATATCGCGAAAGCATTAGTAGAATTTTGTAATTGGATTCTACAATGTTTTATTTTATTTAGAAGAAGAAAAATTTTATTGCTTCAGTTACACGCATCCAATTTTTCAGTTACATATTCTTTTTTACTAGTTGCACCTGCGAATATATGTATTACATGAACTGTCCAGATATGTCTTTTGCTTGGTGCAACAGACACAATTGATTTTTTTATTTATTTAGAAGACTATTATACAATTCTAAGAAAAAACAATTAAGAATAATTAGATACTACATTGGCTCCTTTTTTGTTGTTTACTTCGTAAACTGTGACTCACAGTTTACGAAATAGATAATAAAAAAGGGACAAAGGGAGTAACATTTATAAATTATTAGCGGTAGAAGTTTAAAATTAGATTCTAGAAACTTTAAGATATTTACAAGGCATGGGATGCATGTTTTAAAAATGGCCTGTAAAAAGAAAATAATTGTTAGAGATAAATTTCACAACAAAATTTAAATTAAATAGAGAAGATTGAAAATTTAAAAATAAGATAAACTAAAATAAATATGACTTTGTAGACATGAAAAATTAATTTAAAAAAAAAAAAAAAGACATCTTGAGGATGACAATAATTTCAAAATTTAGCTTTATTGCTTCTTTTTTTTTTGTATAATTTTCTATTATTATTTTTTAATATAGTTTGGACTATGTACATAAATAAGTAATGGCGCTTTTTTTTTTGGACTGAGTTGGCTCTCTTTTGAAATTAACCAATAGATTCTTTTAAGTTTTTCTTGAGCACGCTATAATAGTATAATGATTTTGGTGTTGAGTTGTTTAATTTGGTAATGAATTTTGTGAAGAAAAAAAAAAAAAAAACTGTTAGAGATCAAATTCACAACAATATCTAAATTAAATAGAGAAGATCGAAAATTTAAAAATAAGACAAACTAAAATAAATAGGTCTTTGTATACCTGAATTCCTCTTTTTTTTTTTTTTTTTTTTTTTTAAAAGACATCTTAAGAATAACAATATTTTCAAAATTTAGCTTTATTGCTTATATAATTTATTATTATTATTTCTTAATATAGTTTGGACCATGTGTACACTTTTGAAATTAACCAATGGATTCTTTTACGTTTTTCTTGAGTGGATAAATTTCCATCATTGCACGTTAAAAAAATAAAAAATAAAAAATAAAAAATTGAGCTATGTCATAAATGTGTGGGACCCACGAGAGTCCCACAAATTCCGCTTGGAATAACATGGTCGTTGTAAAAAAAGCATATCACATTAGACTCTGCAATAAGAAATTAGGACAGAGACTTTGCACAAATACAAAGTGAGTGCTAGTTTTATTTATTTATTTTAAAAGTGAACTTCCGATCCTAAATGGTTTTCTGATTCTTCCACTTGATGGCTAGCTCAGACAATAATTTAGCAGAAGAACCATCTTCACTCAGGACCTTCACACTTGCATATTTCAAATCCTTCATTCGATTACGAAGCTTCATTCCTTCTTCTCCTTCCATTAAACCCTTTATAGCTTTTGCAATTGTGTCTCGTCCCACTTTTTTCAAATTTCAGTCTCAATGCCACCTTTAGACCTTCCGTTAATAGTATTGTGTTCATTTTTTGTTCTGCATAAAGCGGCCAAGCAATCAAGGCACGCCATGAACTACACTCTCTAGAATTGAATTCCAACCACAATGAGTCAAAAATTCGCCGGTCCAGCCATGGCCCAGGACCTCAATTTGTGGAGCCCAACAGGGCACCACAAGTCCTTGGCCTTTGGTCCTATCCAAAAACCCTCTTGGTAGGAAACGTAAGGGTCATTTTGGCTTTGGACACTAAGATATGCATCATTGGACTTATCACTTGGACATCTAACAACCCATAAAAATTTGTGACCACTTATTTCCAAACCTAAGGCTAATTCATGTAACTGATCAAAAGAGAGGGTCCCACCGCTCCCGAACGAGACGAACAGAACAGAGGCGCTTGGTTGATTGTCTAACCATACCAAGCACTCGGAGCGCCCCGACCCACTATTTAAACGTGTTTGAATAAGTGGTCCAACCGGGTAAATTGCGGGTTTACTGGTTGCTTCGGATTGCAAAGCTCCAACAGGCCCCATTTCCAAGTCCATGAAGCTGTTTACAATTATCCCCTTTGCCAAGTTGAACCGCTTTGAGTGGTGAAGGAACCACTTGTACGAATCACTTGTCCGGTCCTGGAGCGGGTCCATGATGTCTCTTCCATGAATCGGGATACAACCCGGGACCTTCAACGGTTCGGGTCGGTCCTTAAACTGACCCGAACCCATCTCATCAAGCTCTTGCAGGTGAATCAAAAATGGCAAAGCCATGGCTGATGCTGGGAAGAAGAAGTATGGTGAGACATGAAACTGATGAGCCACATCAAATGCGTCCGTCCCATAGTGATCAACAATCAAAGCCACCAAATTGGTGGTTGTTGTCAGTGACCTCAAAGTGTCGCGAAGCCAAGGAAGAGAGCGAGTCATGGCGAGACATATTAGTGTTGCAGCACTAATGTCCTTCACGGGCAAGTCCTCGAAGCTCACCGGTGGAAGGAGGACGTGGTTTATGGTTTCGGGGAGGGCTTGGAGGAGCTCGAGTTGGGCTTCGGATGGTGAACCCGTGTTAGGGACTATAAGAGTGACCGTGAAATGGTGGTGTTGAACTAGTCGCACCGCGAAAGCGACTAGTGGGATGAGATGACCCATCCCTGGACTAGTTAGAATGGCTATGTGGGAGGGTTGTTCCATGGTAGGTGTTGTTTGTTTACAAAGAAAAGAGATGGTGATAGTATTTAGCTTTTGTTGTTACATATGTTAGGTGGGAAAAGGTTGGCATAGCACATATATATATATATACAGACAATTTGTTTGAGTTACAATATAGTTTTCAAAGAGGTGGACAAATTAAGAAAATTACAAATTTACTCAAACTTCATAGGCCATGCACTAAGATTGTGAAAGGAGATTTATTACATGTCATTATCTTAAAGTAAAAATAAGCTGTAATTTTTGGGAATTGAATTGTTTTAATTTGTAGAATTGCTCTGAAATTGCTTTGATTCAAAGCACGCAGTTTCCCCTAGTCTTCATATATGACCAAATTTATTAATTGAGTAGGTGGGTTGACCCTTGGAGAAGGGTTTAGCCTTTTTCGTCTTTTTATCAAGTGTGAATAGACCCTTAAAAGAAGAGTTGTCTTTCTCAGTCTTTGTGTAAGACCACGAGTTACTTGGGGAGGTGGGGTTGAACCTTGGAGAAGGGTTTAGCCTTGTACATTGAATCTATTCCATCCCTGCGTCTAAAATCAAATTAGAACAATGCTATCTTAGTCGATAATTCAGTTTAGATACATTTTTAAATTTCTATAAATCGATTTATATGTTTTAAGTTTAATTTATCTGTTCAAATATCATTTTTCATCTAATAATATACATGCACATACACACAAAAGAAACAAATTGGCAAATATTATTATGAATTTCAAAATCATTAATTCACTACCTGTACTAATTGTTTTAACTCTGAGCTATAAAGACTCGGCCCTTTTACTAAACTAATTGTTCCAAAACATTACAAGTACTAATATTATTTTTGAGTTTGAATCAAATATATATTGGTTCAAGCCAAGTGTGTGTGGTACTTTTAGCACATTTCATTTCGGCCCAATTTGCGCCAGTACTTGGGCTTTTGCGCCAACATGGGCTTGGGCTTTTCCTCAGCTTGCTTGGGTTATAGCTTGAAGTACCTTTTTTTGTACATATTTTTTGATCCAATATAATTCCTTAGCTTTTTAGCCTTTTATCCAAAATAAAAATGAAGAAGCCCTCCCTTTTTTAAAATTTTTAATTTTTTTTTTTTTGTTAAATGTTCATAGCATTTCGCATCAATTTTGTAATGGGTAGGCGTTTGCCCATTTATCCAAAAACTCAAGTTGTTGGGTGATACTGTATACACCCATTTATACCTAATCACTTTTCCATCCTTATTCGATATAGGACAAATTACCCTTGTAACATTCTCCCCCACTCGAATTCGTAATACCCTCATTGCGGTCGGGTCACCCTGCTTACTCGGGATAGCTGATCCGGACGCCTTCCAAGCTTAGTGCTTTGCGTGACACCGGATCAAGAACTAGGTTTGGCTCCGATACCAACTGTAACGGGTGGACGCTTGTCCATTTACCCAAACACTAAAACTGTTAAGTAGTGCTGCATACCCACTCATTTATACCCAATCACTTTTTCATCCGAATCCAATATAAGACAAATTACCTTATAACACTTGTCAAAGGCACAAACACTACCGACCAAACACTTCCATCTCAAGGGTTGTTGAGGTAGTCCACTCAAGATGACAAGGAAGTGATCTAAAAACACTACAGACCAAACACTTCCATCTCATGAGCAGGGGCGACTCAATGTAACTTGGGGTCTTAGGCAAAAATTAAAAAGTGGCCTTTTTATTGCATAATATGCAATATATTAATTATTAAATAATAATTAATTAAAAATCATTATTTTTGCTTTTTGAGATGCAAACTTACTAATTAAATTATTATATTCAAAGTGTGATTAAAATATTTTTTATAATAGATAATATAGTCAATCAATTTAATCTTTCTTGTAAGTTGATCGTAGATATAATTTTATCGTGAATCAAGTCACTGATATTTTTTTCTTTCACTATTATATAATCTTCTAAATCTTTTAGATCCCTTTTGAGATTAAATTAGTTTATCTATTCTACTCTTCTCTTTCTCTTTCTTCTTCCTTTTTTTTTTTTTTTTTTTTTTTTTTTTTTTTTAAGTTTTTCAAATTCGGATTCATACTTTCTAGCATACATATTAAAAAATATGGGTAAAAATAGTCACAAGACTCACACCTTACAAACAAATATACAAATATATGAAAAATATAGATATATATAAATTTATAATAACAAAAGTTAGTAAAACTAAAAAATAATTAAAGAAAAAAAAACAATATAACCTGATTTAGAAAGCCCCAATTCAATACTGCTGTAAATTTTTCAATAAAATGTTGTAATGAGAGAGGACTGAGAAGGGAGATGACTTGTAAGTTATAAGTAACTTGTTAGAGATTGCTAGGAGAGGAGAGAAATCAGAATGAACGTGAGCATTAGGAATAAGAAAAAAATAAATAAATAAAATAAAAATCTAGAAAAGAGAATATGAAAAGTTTCTTCGATTCCCCATGCAACGCCTAAATATTTATTGTGGTGCAACTTATCGAAAAAATATTAAATATATATAGTGTTGTGTAAAAAAAACATGTATAAGATAAATAAAGAAAAAAATATAAATGAGATATTTTAGGAGATAAATAAAAAAATGAGATATTTTAAGAAATAAATAATTTCTCTTTGCGTTAAAACGTGAATATAAAGGAGAGAGAAAACAAAAATAGGAGATAAATTTTTTAGAATTAGTGTTCAATTTACAATATATCATATACAAATTAATCATAATATTTTGAAATTTTTTTATCGGTTAAGGCTTAGGCGACCGCTTAACCCGCCTAAGACTCGAACTGAGTGGTTGAGGTAGTCCACTGTAGATGACAAGGACCAATCACTTCCATCTCAGGAGTGGTTTGAGGTAGTCCACTGAAGATGACAAGGAAGTGATCTAAATATATCATAAAATGGCGACATATAATCTTTATGAAAACGACATATATATATTATACTATAAAATGACAGAATTATAAAATGACCAAACTTAAAACTCATAGTGCGTACAAACTAAAATAATGAAAGAAAAAATTGAAAGCAAACTCCATGATTAATTATTATATGCTTTTCTGATTCTTCCACTCGATGGCTAATTCGTAGAATGATTTGGTGGAAGAACCATCTTCGCCTTGGACCTTCGCAGCTGCCTTTTTTAGGTCCTTCATGCGGCTACGAAGCTTCATCCCTTCTTCTCTTTCCATTAGATCCTTTACAACTTCTGCAATGACTTCTCCTCCCAATATGCCACTTTCATCAATTTCCGGTCTCAATGCCACTTTCAAATCCTCAGTTAATAATACCGCGTTCATTTGTTGCTCCGCGTAAAGTGGCCAAGCAATCAAAGGCACGCCATGAACGATGCTCTCTAGAATTGAATTCCAACCACAATGGGTTAGAAATCCACCAATCGAGTCATGACTTAAGACTTCGAGTTGTGGCGCCCATGAGGGTACCACAAGCCCTTGGCCTTTGGTCCTATCCAAAAACCCTTCTGGTAGGAAAACTAGAGGGTCGTTTTGGCTTTGGGCACTAAAATATGTAGCATTGGAACGATCATTTGGACTTTTAGCAACCCATAAGAATTTCTGAGCACTCAATTCCAACCCTAAGGCTAATTCTCGCAGTTGATTATAAGAGAGGGTCCCACCGCTCCCGAACGAAACAAATAAGACAGAACCACATGGCTGATTATCTAACCATAGCAGGCATTCGGACCGGTCTGACCCACTACTTGAACCGATCTGAATAAGCGGTCCAACCGGGTAGATCCTCGACATCTTAGGTTCTTCCAATGCTTGCAGAGCTTTCAATGGTCCCGGTTCAAGATCCATAAAACTATTCACAATGATCCCGTGGGCTAAATTGTACCGTTTTGCGTGGTGAAGGAACCACTTGTATGAATCGATTTTCCGGTTTAGGAGCGGGTTCATGAGATCTTTTCCACGAACCGGGATGCAACCCGGAATTTTCAACTCGGGCAGGTCTCTATACTCACCTAAAACCTTCTCATGAAGCTCAGGCAAGTGAACCAAATGTGACAAAGACATAGCTGATGATGTGCAGAACAAGTATGGTGAGACATGAAACTCATTCGCAACATCGAACGCATCGGTGCCAAAGAGATCAACAACCAGAGCTACCAACCTAGTAGTTGATGTCAGTGATCTTAAAGTGTCACGGAGAGGCGAAAGAGAGCGACGTACGGTGAGATAAACTCGCGTCGCGGTACTGATGTTAGGTAAATCCTCGAAGCTAGCTGGTGAAAGAAAGACGTAATTTATGGCTTTTGGAAGGGCTTTGAGGACCTCAAGTTGAGCTTTGGGTGGTGATGGTTCGGTGGTCGGAACAATAAACGTGACGGAGAAGTGGTGGTGGCGGACAAGGCGGTCGGCGAAGGCCACCAACGGGATGAGATGACCCATCCCCGGACTTGGTATAATTGCTATGTGGGCTGTTTGTTCCATACTTTGTTTGGAAGAAAGTAGAGAGAGCTAATGTTTGTGAACAAGATGGACACAGGAGAGGTGGGTAGTCATATATATATATATATATATATATATATATATATATGTAGTGTGTAAGGATTAATATTATATTGTGTTTGTATACAAAATTTAAATTTGAATAAGAAAATTATTTCTGTCCAAATAAATAAATTAATTAATTCAACATAAGAGTTACTTTTCTTTCATTTTTATTTAAAGATAAGACCGTAAGAGAGACACAAAATTGGTGCACATGACGTGTGATTCAAGTTCAAACGTAAGAAAAAGTTAAAAAAACTGTCTAAAGTAAGACATTCTTGCGCTGAGACACATAATTGGTGCACATGACGTGTGATTCAAGTACAAACGTAAGAAAAAGTTAAAAAAGCTGTCTAAAGTAAGACATTCTTGCGCTGTCATACAGAGCCGCCGAGGGCTGCAGGAGTAGGAATGAATGAGAGAACCCACAGCAAAATTCAAGTTATATATATATATATATATATATATATATATATATATATATACTGAAATTAAAAGAAAGAGTGCGCATGAAATATAAGAATTAAAATACATGCAAAATGTAAGAGAAGCATTTTTTAAAAAAATTGTACTCCGTATAACTTAATTCTTACTTATATTTATATGAAATTTCGCAAACATGAGGGCGAATTAACGTTCAAAATAATAGGAAAAGCACATAGAGTTCTCAACGGCTATTTGCTAGCTTTCTTATGTACAGTAATTTCTAGCTTTGTGATTACTCATTCTTAAAACGTATTTGAATTTGGGGTATTTATTTTATTTTTCTAACAAAATTACCACCTTATGGTAAATAAAGTTCATTTTTATTAATTGCAAAATTATAAACGAAAAAAGAAACAACAATTTGAAACCTAATTAATATATTCCTATAGGAAAATACTTATTCAAGTTGAGAGTAGGACCAACCATGATATGGTGAATCCCATCCCATCCCTTCATGTGTTTATATGGACGTAAGCAACAACCTCATTTCTATAATGTAATAGAATTGAGAAATAAAAAAAACAAAAAGTTAATAAAAAAAAGGGTGATATTGTTGGTCACATCTATTTGAGGTGGAAAATGACATGACACCATTTAAAGAATTACAATGGTTCACGAAAGGTTGAATAGCATTTTCAAACACTTTATTTCGCATCTGCTAGAGAAGGCTATTTTTATTGGGCTTGAATGGGCCTGGTGCCTTCTTTTGTTTTTTTTTGTGGGAATGGGGACCTCTTCACATGTGACCATGAGTCACATAAAGGGCAGAGTGACAAAATCATCACAGATGAACACAATGGCATATAAACAAAAAAAATGATATCGTATAAAATTAACACATTTATAAATTATACTTATATGACAATCCACATACTTCATTATTGTCCACACAGATACCATCTAAATATATTTATAATAAAATAACGACATATAATCTTCTGAAACCGGACATACATATTTTAAAATGACATAATACTTACTTGACCAACTTAAACCCAGAAACTCCATGGTCAATTATTATATGCTTCTCTGATTCTTCCACTCACTGGCTAAGTCGTACGACAATTTGGTTGATGAACCATCTTCACTTAGGGCCTTCGCAGCTGCCATTTTTAGGTCCTTCATGCGGCTACGAAGCTTCGTCATTAGATCTTTTACGACTTCTGCAATGACTTCTTGTCCCAATATACCACTTTTGTCAATTTCTGGCCTCAATGCCACTTTCAAATCTTCGGTTAACATTACCATATTTATTTTTTGCTCTGCGTAAAGTGACCAAGCAATTAAAGTCACGCCATAAACAATGCTCTTTAAAGTTGAATTCCAACCACAATGAGTTAGAAACCCACCAGTTGAATCATGACTTAGGACCTTAATTTGTGGTGCCAAGATGGCACCACAAGTCCTTGGCCTTCGGTCCTATCCAAAAAACCTTTTGGCAAGAAACCCACAGGGTCATTTTGGCTTTGGGCACTAAAATATGCATCATTGGACTGATCACTTGGAGTTCTAGCAACCCATAAGAATTTTTGACCACTCATTTCCAAACCCAATGCTAATTCATGTATTTGATTATAAGAGAGGGTCCCGCCGCTCCCGAACGAGACAAATAGGACAAAGCCACTTGGCTGATTGTCTGACCATAGTAAGCACTCGGACCGGTTTGACCCACTACTTGAACCGATTTGAATAAGCGGTCCAACCGGGTAGATCGTCGGCATCTTGGGTTCTTTTAATGCTTGTAGAGCTCTAAATGATCCAGGTTCCAAATCCATAAAACTATTCACAATGATCCTAGGCTAAATTGTACCGTCTTGCTTGGTGTAGAACCCACTTGTATGCATCCCTTGTCCCGTTGTGGGGTACGGTCATGAGATCTCTTCCACGAACGGAAAAGCAAGCCGGAATTCTCAAACTCGGGTAGGTCTTTATAGTCACCGGAAACCTTCTTATCAGGCTCTGGCAAATGGACCAAAAGTGACAAAGACATAGCTGGTGATGTGCTGAACAAGTATGGTGAGACATGAAATTTGTTCGCACCATCGAATGCATCTATGCCAAAGATATCAACAACCAAAGCAATCAACTTGGTAGTTGATGTTAATGATTTTAAGGTAGCACGAAGGGGCCTGGTGAGATAAACTGGTATTGGAATTTCGATTTCCGGAAAATTCTATGAAAAAGGGTATGAATATAAATTCATTACATTAATTTCCTTCCCTTTCTTTCACCGATCATAATTACTATCATCTCTTTTATTTTTCTTTATTAATCAATCAAACACAACAAGTAATTAACACTATTATCTTCTTTCCTTCCTTTTCTCTTCTCTCTTAATTAATGTTATTCTTTTTTTTCTTTTCCACTATACCAAACATATCCATAGGCTCCCAGCCCAGTAAGGGCGGCTCTGACCAGAACGAATCTTTACAATGGTGATAAGGCGGCTGACTATTCTTTTTTTTTTTTCCTAGTTGAAACTCACACATACTCCCTTGACCTCCCTTTAGAAAGTAGGAGCCTTGTACCACTAGGCCACATGCTTATTGGTCGGCTGAAAATTCTTTATTCATGTGTGTTTTAGCTCCTCAACTCGGCTCCATGAGGGCAAGATTCATGTGGTGGGAAATAGAACCACAAGGATAGGGGAGACTTTAATATAGTAGAATTGTAAGTAAGAGTAATATATATACACACATATACAGTAGAATTGTAAGTAAAAAACTTATGTAATTTACTCTGTTTCAAAATAAATGTAAGAGAGACGTTCTTTTTAGGACATTGGTGGTAGTTCTTACCTATATTTACATTGAATTTCACAAACATGAGGGCGAATTAATGTTCAAAAGAATAAGAAAAACACGGGGAGTTCTCAATGGTTATTTGCTACTCATTGTTAAAACGTTTTTGAATTGGGGGTATTTATTTTATTTTTCTAACAAAATTACCACCTTATGTTAAATAAAGTTCATTTTACTTAATTGCAAAATATATATATATATATATATATATATATATATAATAAAAAAATAAAAAAATAAAAGAAAACAACAACAATGTGAAACCTAATTAATATATTCCGACACAAAAATACTTTATGCACGATCCAAAATTGATAGATACAAGTTAAGAGTGAGACCAACCATGATGTGGCGCAGGGACGGAACCAGGAGGTTGAATAGCATTTTCTAACGGTTGCTTTGGCATCAGCTAGACAAGGCTATTTTATTGGGCTTGGGCTTGGGCTTTAAGTCAACTAGGTTGTTTGATTTTGCATTAAGCTTGAATGGGCCAGGTGCCTTGTAAAACTTGTAATAAGTGTTTTTTGCTTGGGCCTAGGCCTTTTAGGCCCAACCCTATGTACTGTACATATTCCTTCTCAATACATTTGCTTGAATTTCTGAAAATAAAAAATTCACCATCATTTTTTAGAGAAACATCTCAATTAATTGGTTGTCAAATGGTGACAACCCAATTTTTGACCGTCCCAGGTTGGCCTTGCAATAGGGAACTGCAAACCTCTTCACATGTCACCATGACGTAATTCACATAAAGCAGATGCGACAATAGGAGCGAGTGTGTGAAAGTGACAAAATTTAAATCACATAAAGTGATAATATAAGTAAGAGTGCGGGCGAAATGCAATAATGAGAGCGATACCTGTTTAAAAGAATTGTGTGACTTAGACTATGACAATGGCATGGATAAAAATAATAGCGGAGAGGGGTAGGGTTACAGACGATTTAGATTATTTGAAAATAGTTGAGACTCAGTAGTCAAAAGTTTGTGTTAGTAAACATAAAATATAGCGTCAAGAAATGTTAACTAATTTTTTATCTTTACAAAAAATATAAACTGCGCTGTTGTTTTAAAGAAGCTCAAGTCATCAAATGTAACCAACCTAAACCATTCATCGTTCATGACTCATAGCCCTGCAAAAAGAAAATTATTACATGGTCTCGAGACGAAGGTCCCGACTATATCACTAGTCAACACGGAAGCAAAAGCTAGACATGTCACCCTAGATCCTGGCTATACCCAGACCTTATTCAACATGTCACAAATGACAAAATCATTCCAAATAGAACATGGGCGTGATAGAGAAATTATTATATATTCTCAAGACCATTGGACCGGGCCAATCACATGGTAACAGGGATGGAGCCAAGACTAGGCCTTCATTGACTCCTTCCCTGCATGGTGAAAAATAAACAAAAAATAAGATAAAACTAATACAAAGTTGACGCATTTACATAATTGGTTCGAGACCAATGATCCGGGACCAAAACTAGTTTATCCGCGTGATGGGGTTTGGCATTCCAAGTCGAACGTTTTAACCTTTAAATTAACTTGATAACTTTATGGGCTATAGCCTAAAGTTTATTTGATTGATTGATTGATTTATTTATTTTATTCTTTTAAGGGGGTAAAGTATTGCCTGAAGTATATAATATATTGCCGTACCTCCTTGAACAGAGTTCTTAATCAGTAAATCTACGTAATATAATTCCTAGTTTAACCCAAAACAGAAA